TCCATAATGATTTTTTTTTATTATCATCTTTACTGTCACTTTTTATGCATGCTTGCAATATAATTTCTATTTTAAAAAGTCTTATTGACTTTTGAATGGTAGTATATGTTTTTGTCTTAATGGTCTCATCTCAATATATTTATAAAAATAAGTCAAAGAAACCAACCAACAGAACACCTGGCTGACACAAGAGGAGCCTCGCTGGCCTGTCTCATGAATTATGGGCCCCTAAAAGCTTTGAACATAAAGCAAACAGGAGCCCCACATTGAACCAAACTGTGATGACATAGCATCTCTTAGAAACACAGAGCAGCACTGCAGCACTCATTCAGACACACATATTCCAAGTGCAACAGGACACCCATAAACATACACAAGAGAGAGAGCGAGAGACTGCAACTGCTTTTCCAATAATAGCCCGCTTGATGGAATGTCGAAAGTAGGAAGACTGACAACGAGGCAGTGAAAGAGAATGATTGTGATTGTACAGAAAAGAAAGTGCCAGTCTAAGGAAACTCTCTACAACATATTTGATATAATACCCTTCCTCATTTGCCCTGGTCTGGCTCCTACCTTCATAAGTGACGGTGCAGTAGGCATCGCTAATGTCCTCATCATGCGTCAGCACATTCTCTGCGCACAGGATAAACACACGCAGCATGGGTGGACAGTGGTTACAGCAGGATCCGCTACTAGTAACACTTGTGAGTCACAGTACAGCGCACTGTGGTCCCGCACAGAGATGGACCACTGGGGATGTGTCGGGATCCTAAATAAGTCCCCAAAGAATCAATTTCACTCTAAGACTAGAAAATGAAAATAGATGAAGAGAAGAGAGAGAAAGAAAGAAAAGCTGTGCTACAAACTGTGTATAGGACAGCAGTCTGATGGGAGCTGATGTAGTTGCTGCCCCTCTTCCTGGCAGCTTGCACACACTCACACACACTGGCTCTAATGCCCCCGAGTCTGACTCATACACACTCTGTCCTTTCAATCACAGACTGCAGCTCCTCTTAAAGGCACAGGATGCTTTTGGTCAGCACCTGTTAAAGCAACTATGACTCAAAGGTTTTGGGAAGTTCACTTCTCCTGCTGTCTGTCTCAAGTAAACCTCTCCTTTAGAAGATTATAAAGAGATTATAAATCATTATAAATAGATTTGAACATGTCATTAGGCCAATAAATTATTGTTCACTTTACAAAAAAGGTTGTACACTTAAAATTTAAGACATGCAAGCAAAAATGGTTTGACAGTGTCAATGGCCAAAAAACATCCACCCAAAAGTTTGCTATTTTCCTGACACTTTTAAGAATGTGTGATTCCAATTTAAATGATTGAGTTTGAGTATTAACATTTCTTACAAACACGAAGCCATCCATCCATTCTCCAAACCACGTGTCCTCTGTAGGGCCATGGGAAACATTGAGACATTATCTCTAAAACAATGCGACTCAGTCTTAAAGTTATTTAGCATTCATTTTTTTATTATTTTAAAAGCATTAAATAGGGATGTTCAATGTCCAATAGAATACCTGGGTTTGTGGCTATGTACTGTACACTGTAAGAGGAATATATATTATTATTTCTTATGTGTATTCGATCAATTTCACTGCTTATACAAGATCAATTTTGTTAATCTTACATGAGTTACATGGATTTCTTTACGTAACATTTAAATCATGAAAAGATATAATGTGTTTGACACATATACATGTGTTGTGTAAAACAGAATTTTTATTTTCTGTATTGAAAACAGATACTCTGCCTTTATAGTTTATTAAGATGTGCTTCTGGCAGAGGGATTAGGGAAGGATGACAAAAGTAATGGTTTCAAAAAAAGTGTTAACTGTTTAAGAAAGTAAGGGGACAGAAGGTTAATTGTTGCTGCCCAACCGAGTTTATGGCAAACATGTAAGGGTTAGATTTGACTGATAAATATAGAGATGTTGTAAGTTTTATGAGGCCTTACATTTAAATACTTATCCGTTCAAATCTAACCCTTATGTGTATAGCATGCCAAAACCCCTGTCAGTCAGTGATCTGCTTGAAACCTTCAGTTCAACTACTGAGCACAGGCCCCCTCAATTCCATCACACTCTTGGTAGAAGACTCAGATATATTGTCATTTGATCTATTTTCTCTTTCTCTTCCTCTCTGGTGTTACAAGTTTGATCTACAAATGCGGATAGAAGCAACTTGCAAATAATGCCTCTTTCTGCAGTCAAGGTCAGTAGGCCTGGGGAGAGTCTAGGGAATCAGATAAAATGTTTCCAAATAAAAATCTATTTAAGTATGTCAGGTGGGCATATTATGTAATGTTGAGTGGATGAAGATGAAATGGAAAGTGAACATCTATAATAAAGGGACGTAGTAGGCCTGTTCATTTGTCTATCAAATCATTTTTGTTCTCTGGTTTGCATAGAGCTCATTTGTAGCTCTATGAGATTTGTTTGAGTTGTAAGAGAGACTGCCCTGGATAGTGATTTCAGATAAATACATTTTATTTGTAAACCATAACAACGTTCTGGCATCTTGTGTGTTCGGTATCCGCTCTTTTTAACCCAATAGATATTGCAGTGAATTCGAACTAACATTGTGTTTTGAACATTGTAGGCTGCTTTGTGGAACGCTTTCCTAAAAATGAAACTGAAGTTATGATAGTGTTCTCCTCCCTATTGTGACGAACTGTATATTCATGTGTGAAACGGCTTCTCGAAATAAGATCAAATGTAGGGCAGGACTTTGAAACGGGATTTTGTTTATTTGGAATTGATTGGACCTGTATTTTGTTATGGTTTGCTTTTGCTGTGATGTCATGTGAGTGACAGGTTGTCCCGACCTCACATCAGTAAACACATCATCCGAAGAAAAGAGAGTATGAGAAGAGGGATTCTGATTTTGATAAAAGATTAGTTGGACACATGAATTCAAAAAATAATGCTGTGCATCGATAAACCATTTATAATAAATACTCCATTACTGTGTCCTTTTTCCCTCTTTCCCTGTGTTTTGCAGTGTACCACATATAGAAAAGAGAAACGATCTCAGCACGTTTAAATATATAATTAACAAGTAATCATTTTTAAAATGCGGTTAACTAGTAGAATGTTTTGTGAGTTGATTTGGTTTTAGAATGCTGGTGTCACTCTCATAAATTACTAAATAGTGTACAGAATTAAACACTAAAAGGTGAATTGACAATCAAATTTACCAACCTAAATAAGGAATTAGACTGTGATAGGGCTTATACTTTTTATAGACATGGCACTAATTTAAAGATGATTACAAAATACATCAGGGGCCGTTTTCACAAAATAAAATGTTAAGGCTTTTTTTTATATATATGCTCATCCATATAATGGTAGTGAATAGCAACCAATACGACTTATATATTCCAAGTGGGTTGGGGGTGTATAATAGGGTTTTGTGAAAAACAAACCAAACTTTAATGTATTATTTAATGAAAATCCTGACTTTGGATACTGGTCTTCAGTGAAGTTCACTCCAACTTGCCCATTAAAGACAAGTTGTGACATGAAATACAATGCCTTGAAATCCCAAAGAATTATCTGTGTACTTTCTTCACTGAGGTAAATCTCTCTAGACATGAACTCATATACCTCAAATACCTCAGATAAAAAAAGTACACAGAATGTATTTTATGTCACATTATTATTAGGTTGATTTCTCACAACTCTTTTTCTGGGTGAGTCGGAGTGATCTGCTGCTCTAATATAGTCTCATAAATGTGTGCCGTGCACAAACAACCGAAATCTTGATTTTCGTTAAATAATAGGCTACATTAAATTTAATTTAAACTACATTAAGTTTCAGTAATGCCACCAGCACCAGCAAAGAAACAACAAAGGAATAGTTAAAGGCATAGAGTAGGTAAGTCCTGTTGACATTTGGGATCGTATGACGTAAAGAGGATTTAGCACACACACCTTTACAATAAAGAGAAAGTGAAAGTGTATCACCTTAAAAACCTTAACTTTACTGAACATTAAGTTATTCAATCTTTGGTTTTAAATAGCACGGACAATCAGTTCTACTTTGTATTTTCTTCTGAAAGTCCGAGGCAACGCTAATACACAGATGAGAGGAATGAGAGTTCATTCATACGAGAAAACACGTTGAGCACTATTGCCAAGCGTTGCAGCGTTCATAAAGCTTTTGTTATCCGTTGGTAGAGATACACACATTTTTCTTAAATACATTAAATGTATTGTATTTTAATCAAATGTAATCAAAACTCTTTGCTCAAACAATGAGCTGGAGCAGGGGATCACTGAGCTGAAGAGCTCTCTGAGCTCTCACACACTAAAGAGTGTATTTTACTCAGTTATATTCACTATTTCTTTACTCAGTAATATTCAATGTTCTTTAACCAGAGGAAACCACATGCTCGTGGATTTCCTCTCACTTGCATTCTTGCATCTGCATCTGCAGTCAAGTCCTGGACCAACAACAACAATACTACTAACAAAATAATATGTACCTTTACCTACAGTAACTGGGCAAGCCTGAATAATCTGAAGACAAGAGCCACTATCCTACTCGTATTATTTCTTTCAATAATTCCAGCAAGGTTAAAATGACATTTTCTTTATAACATATAATTATAAACACATAATAAAATAACACTTTACAACCATGTATATATTTAAGTTTCATTTTTTAAATTACCTTTAATAAGGAGTCTGTTTGTTTGAATGCACTTAAAATGAAGCATAATAATTTAGAAGAAATAGAGAGACTATTACAAATATATTTGCAAATAATCAATCAGGTTATACTGTTACACTCTGCAATGATATTCCCAAAATGACAGCTATGAATAATGAATTGGTCAAAATATCCTCAAAGATTTACGTGACAATCTTATTATAGTCTTTTAAGAAAACATGACAATGGGACAAGGTGTGTTGTGTTGACAGTATTATGTAAGATCTACAGGAAGAATAAAACCAACCTTTACAGTGAAGTGAAACTAAAACCTACCTTACCTCACCACAAAAACCTGCCGAGTTCTTTGTAAAAGAGGAGTTGAGATCTGATGTGACTGAGTCCTGAGAAAACACAAACAGACAGGTGAGATTTCGTAGACCAAACCTTAAAACAATAGATTGTAAAGCAATTAACTTAATGTTACTAATATATAAGATTATACTATATGAGTCTTAGGAAGAACAGACCGAGCACCATGTTTATAGGACATAGTTAGAACAATTCTTAAACAACCAATACTAATTGTGACATTTGACATGCTTTAATGATGTAAATGGATATTTTTTCATACTTTTTATGTGTACTGGCATTCAAAATATGATTTGCCTGTTTTCAGTGGCATTTCACATGCAAGTCAAATTAGATTGTGCCAAATTTTTTATTTGTTTCTATTTGTTATCTATGCTGCCTATATGGCAAACAGCCAATGTTCACTGCTTGAACATAAAGTTTGAGATCACAATGCAATGTTTAATCTGTTAACTGCTTTTCTTACTTGTTTTATAATGTAATGGTCCTTGATCAGTCCAATAAAGAGCTTCATGGTGTCACCGTTTCTCCAGTAACAGTCATGACTTCCTTCAGCTCATCACTCTCTGTCTCTGGTGAGCTGCTCCAGTGCAATATATGTCTGGAGGTGCTCACAGACCCAGTCACCACTTCATGTGGACACAACTTCTGTAGCATCTGTATCAAGGCATTCTGGGAGAGTGGACAGCTCTTTCTATGTCCTCTCTGTAAGGAAGACTTTGAAAGTAAACCAGAATTGAAGATTAATGCAGCATTTAAAAAGGTTGTTGACCGTTTCAAAGTGCATCAACAGCCAGAGAAACTTCAACACCAGACAAAACATCTCCAACAAATTTCATGTGATGTCTGCCCTGAAAACACGCAAACTGCAGTAAAGTCTTGTTTGAATTGTGTAACATCTTTCTGCGAGACTCACCTTGACCATCACAAAAAAGCACCAAGGCTCGCAAGGCACAAACTGATTAACCCCGTGGAGAACCTGGAAGATTATATCTGCAGGAAACATGATAAACCACTGGAGATGTTCTGCAGAGATGATCAGACATATCTGTGTCTGTTTTGCACTGAAACAGAACATAAGACTCATAACGCTGTTCCTATAGAGGAAGAAAGTGGATACAGGAAGGTGAGAAGCTTTAGAAGATATTTCCATTCTACTTAAAAGAACTGTTTACACAAAAGTGTATTTACTCATCTCATGTCATTCCAGCTTCTGTGAAACAAAGAGCAGCTCTTTTCATTCCAAATCCAGTCAATGCTGATTAAAATGTAAAGCACAAAAAAGCAGCATAAAAGTCTGATAAAAGTAGTCCATAAGACTCACATATTATAATTATGTCTGAAGTCATTTAATAGCTTTGTGAGACTTCATCATTTTCCTCTCTGAACACGCGCATCGACATTACAGAAAAAATAAGACCAGTTAATAACATCAAAATTTTGTCCTGTTCTTAAATGATGACAAATCTTTCAAGTTTGAAGAGATCTATCACCTAAAACAATTGAAAATTAACCTTACTGCCAAAATATGAATCAAATAAAGCATAAATTAAAGTGATGAAATCCAAAACAATTTCAAGACAGAAAGAGAACAGTTCAATGCATGTTTAACAATATTGCTTTCGGTTTCTGTCCTCAGATTCAACTGGAAAAGACACAGGCAGAAATCAAGGTGATGATCCAGGACAGACAGAAGAAGATTGAGGAGATAAAAAACATAGCAGAGTCCCACAAGGTGTGGCATTATAGTAAAGTGACAAGAACAATATTATCAACACAAACTGAATGACATATTTTTTGAGAATGATAATCTACTGTATTTGACTTTGATTTGACCGTCTAATATTCTTCTCAACATAACCAGAGCACCACAGAGAGAAATAAAGCAAACAAAGTTGAGCTGTTCACTGCTCTGATCCACTGTATTGAGAGATGTCAGTCTGAGGTGTTGGAAGGAATGGAGCAGAAGCAGAAAACAGAAGAGAAACAGGCTGAAGAGTTTATTAAAGAGCTGGAGCAGGAGATCACAGAGCTGAAGAAAAGAGACACTGATCTGGAGCAGCTCTCACACACTGAAGATCACCTGCACCTCCTACAGGTCAGTGTCCCTCTGTCTGCTCACATCACATGACAACTCTCCTCATTCTGAAGCAATTCTCCTCTCCTGCATTTCTTCAGGTTTACTCGTCTATGTGCAGCCATCCAGAAGTCAAGACCTGGACGAACATCAACATTAACACTGATCTACTGAACACAGAATACCTGGAGAAAGCTCTTACTTGCCTCAAGGAAAAAGTCAACAAGGAACTGGAAATAGTCCATGAGATCAGCAAGCATTATGGAGGTGAATGTATACATGAACCAGCATTCTCAATCCATTCTGAATGGTAACCGGCAAGCTTTATCAGACATGAAAGAAAAATCAAGACTTGGTATTGTGGCTATACTGATGCTAGCTAGATATTATTGACTGACTTGATCATAATTATCTAAGAGGCATATCGTGTTCAAATTCTTTAAGCGCAAATCACAATTAGCTCACTGAAAGATTTCTAAACAAGTGATAGAAGGCCTACTTTAAATTGCTATTAAAGGTGCAGTGAGCAATTTCAGAGAACTGCTGTTGAAAGTGGATTGGACAGAGAGCGCCAAGGGGGCATGTTCATGCCTAGGGGGCATGCCTACTCATATTGGGGGAGAAGAGAGTGAGCAAGAGGGAGATTTGAAGAAAGCTTTTAGAAAGAGAGATAGCTGAGATACATTACAAAAGAAAAAACATCACTGGAAGAGGACGGGTTATGATCAGGCAAGAGATTTAGGACCCACGTAAATATTAGAAAAGCATAGAGACCAAAGCAGGAAGGCCTGAAAATGGACACCAAGGTTGCATTGTTTCTTCTCAATATGTGAGTAACCTCACAGAACCAAGAAATGCTGTTGTTGTCATTTTAGCTATATAGTGGCAGGACAGTTTTGAGTGTCATTGGCTACTTTTACATGCAACCATGCAGATAATACGTTAGTAATCGGACTGACGGCTCAATCGGACTGAAAAACCTTCATGTAAACACCTTAATCGATCCAATTAGCTTTATGCACAGCTTCACTACTTCCTGAATTTCAGCCAGCTCCTTGTTTCCTGTCTGCCATTATTGGACTCATTGATTAATTCAGGTGTGCTTGACCTCAGTAGTCATGGCAACAATAATCAGACACACCTGAATTAATCAATTTTGCCCAATAATGGCAGACAGGAAACAAGGAGCTGGCTGAAGTTCAGGAAGTAGTGCCCATTGAGCTCAATCCGAATTAAATTTTCGATCGGATCGAAAGGGGTGGTTTATTCCTTTTCTAATCCAATCGAGAGAACATGTAAACACTTGATCGGATTGAAAACCGAAACTGAAAAGCACTGCACATGTACAATGCCGTTGAAATAGCGTCATGACGTGTGGCGCACGGAACGGGCTGTTTGTTCCTATTGAATAAAGTGTCATATTAATGAGTGTCCTGTCATTCTAAAAGTCTCCTTTCACTCAGCTTCTGCAAAATGGAGCAGGACAACATCCCACCAGTCCTTGTTTCGGTCTCTCATCCACAGTTTTGGCCGCGGAGAGGGGCGTTTTTACAGCGTTATAAATATAAGCATCACGGCACAACAGTTCATATGCTCATGGTCTCCGAATTATGACCAGAAATGGATAAACATTAAGTCTGCTGTTTAAAACAAATAAGGAACCAATGTAGGAGAATGGTGATTATGCGCAAACAGCAGGAAACTATTCGTGCAGTTTGAGCATGTCAAACAATCTATTCTGATTTTGAAGCTTGTGACATGCATGAGTCGGATGTCGGATGCATCAGTCGGAGTGAAAAGAAATCACTTTTCTTTTCTCAGAAATCGCTTACTGCACTTTTTAAATGTCAAGTCAGCTTAAATAAATGCTCAGTTTTTTATTCTGGTCAGAATTCTGATTGGCCAGCAACATTTTTTTATAAGCTGCAGCTGTCTAATGGTGTGTTTTGCACAGTTCTTGATAGTGATAAAAAAAGGCTTCCATCTTTTTCAGTGAACATTTCTCAGTGAATTTTATAATTTATACTTTCACAGCTCAACCTTCTGTTTTTCAAGGATTCAACTTCATTCAAGCAAAATCACCACCTTCAGCCAATAATATATTTGTATTTGGCAGCACTGACACAGAATCTGTTTCCTCACTTCCTTCATTGATACCTAAAAGTTCTTCAAAGATTAAGAAAAAGAATGCAACTGTTACTCTGAGAACACAGCAGGGCACCCTGACAGAGATTTCGAAAATGAAAACAAGCAAAGTTCAGACAGAGGGCAAAATCTACTTCACTCTGGGTAAAGCTACAGACTGCGGCACTCCCTCAACAAAGACAGTGGAAATGATTAATAAACAAGTGAGTGTCTCAACAAGTACTTCTCCATTGCTTGAGCTGAGCTCAATACAGAAACTGTATGCAGGTAAGATATACTGTAAATATTATTAATAATAACATGAGCTTCAAGGCTGCTTGTAATGCATACATCACTTTACCTGTCTTTCTCCTGCAGTGGATGTGATTTTGGATCCAAACACAGCTTACCCTAAACTCATCCTGTCTAAAGACGGAAAACAAGTGAGTCATGGTGGATCCTGGACAGATGTTCCCAATAACCCTGAGAGATTTGACTCATCTGCCTGTGTCCTGGGAAAGGATGGGTTTTCCTGTGGAAGATTTTACTTTGAGGTCCAAGTCAGTGATAAGACTGAATGGGATTTAGGTATGGCCCGAGAGTCTGTTAGAAGAAAGGGGAAAATAAGAGTGTGCCCAGAGAATGGACTTTGGTGTATATGGCTAAGGAATGGGAGTGAATATATGGCTAATGAATCCTGTCCTGTTTCCCTATTCATGAAAGACAAGCCCCAGAAAGTGGGGCTGTTTGTGGATTATGAGGAGGGTCTGGTCTCCTTCTATAATGTGGATACCAAGGCTCTTATCTACTCCTTCACTGGTCAGTCTTTTACTGAGAAAATCTATCCATTTTTCAGCCCTTGCAACAAAAGAGGTGATGTGAACTCGAAGCCTCTGATTATTCTGAAGTCTAATTATGCATATATGCTCCAATAGAATATAACACGACAAAGGGCCATTGTTAAGTGGACACACAATTTTTAATTCAAATTTGAGGAATTAGGGGGGTCTGATTAATTAATAGCCTAAATGTAAATGTATGAAATGAAATGAGGTAATTTTATGTTTTTTTTTCTTTTACTTTAAACAAAACAATAAAAAATAACTTTCTCAACAGAGCATTACTGTTCTTTACACATGTCCAACACAGGCCTATTCAAACAAAACGTGTCTATCCCTTAAAATATACACATCAAAACACAAATGGCTTGCTGGGTTTGTTTATTTCAGATATCCGTGATAGCTAACTGGTGAATCAGCACCCTAATTAAGTAAACCACCTTCAACTGAGAAAAATAAGAGACATGCCTATTCCCACATAGCTGTGTAGAGGCGTCCCTAAACTAGTTTCATAGGTTACGAAAGTCGTTACCGGCCATCGAGAACAATTTGATCATAACGTAATATAATTTACAGAGGGACGACAACATTTACATCCAAATACCGGAACAGCATCAAATTGCAGGATTATGTCACGTGGGTGAGTTCACTTCATTCCATAATTTCGTGCTGGTTCATAGAAAAAGACTGTATTGCAAATTACTGTTGATAGGGCATTTATGTCTTTCTATTGTGCGCAGTTATCTGCTGTAAATCAGAATAGATACATATTTAGAAGCGTTTTTGTTGTTTTGACACTTATCCAACAACAACAACAACAACAACATGAATTCATACCATAAGTTACCTGGCTTGTAATTGTGGAGTTCATCAAAGCACTCTTCACCGTTGTGTCTAACTGGTTTAGCCGATATTTTATAGCCATGCTTCAACAGAAGTAACCTTAAAGCAGAACTAAGTAACTTTTTTTACCTTAACTGAACAGCTTTGGAGTCATTGTAATGTTAATATTACTGATTTCGTGTTGAATGGTGATCGTCTCGCACCCCCCTGGTGCCTGTGAGCCGCAAAACCACCCTTGCAACTTTGGGCCGGCGGCTCGCCGGCCTCAGTGTTAGGAAGTATCGTGAGATTTCAGGTCTCGCGAGGTAACGAATTGCTTTACGGCACTATACGCGCACACGCATGCGTACACGCCCCCGGCCATCCAGGAGCCGGCTAGCTATAAGAAAAAGGTAACGCTAGATTGAATTCTTCACGTTTTCGTGATGGCTGATGTAAAAGAAGAAGAAGAAGACAGCTCGGAAGTGTTTATCAGAGAAACAAAGAAGAGAAAACGGACCGGCTTTTTCAGAATAGAGAGAACTGAAAGAAAGCGAAGCCTGCAAAACCGATGCTGACCTGGCCTTCTTGCTGTTGCACTTGTAAGTATCTTTATAATAAACTGTGTTTAATGTTTGTATTTCTTGTAATTGTGACCTCGGGAGTCGGGATGTTTGCTATTGTCTGTTTTTTTTTTTATTATTATGCTCGCTGTCTGTTACCGGCTTACTAGTACGTTAGATACTGTAACTTAGATGTTAGCATTTTCATTAGCAAACAAACTTGCTTGTTTTCTGTAAGTATAAGTGTTTTGTCCGTTCCTCTATCAGGGTTTATTTGTGTTTCTCAGATCGCATATAAATCGATATGAAATTCTACAAATTATGCATTAGTTTAGCTTGTCGTCAGCCTCAGAATTAGTAACGTTATAATGCATGACTTGATAATGCATAAACCGACACGAGAGCTGCTAGCTAATAATGCAACTTTTTTATATTTATTTACCCACATTTACACAAACAGAACTATAAGTAAACGATAAATTGCATTGCAACTTCACACATGCAACTCCATCTGTGCTATTTTGACCTTGTCTATAAATGATATGTTGATAAAAGATTGATACATTTTCTTTTTCCTTTTTAGCTACAAGCGTTGGCAAGTGTTATCAACTCCGAGGCACCCCAGACCACCAGTACCACCGGTCTCAAGCTTCAATAATAAAATAAACAAACTTGTAATAAACAAATTAAACGTGTTTGACTTTCTTTGGTCAATCGTTACGATAGACAACTCGGATCACCAGAAAAATGATGAATGTAACGTAACATGTATTTTGATAATGCATAATCAAAGTAGCTATAGCTGTAGGCTAAACTAAAAATAAATAAATAGCGGAAATATTTCTTATAGTATTATTGATTTTTAACCATAATGTTACTGATAACGTTTGGTAACACAATACAAATATACACTATCTCAACATTTGAATAATATTGTTCTGAGAATCATACCTCAGTGGATATGGCTCGGGCGTCAGTTTGGTTTGAAATGTGCTGGGGACAGAGACGCATTCGGAAGGGCATTTTCAAAAGTGCTGGGTAACGCATTCATTCTTTTTTCTCTTTCGAGTAGGTAATGTTTTGAACGACGATGTCCATAGCTTCCTGATGCACATAAATAAAAATGAGCACAATACAGTGATGGTCCGGCCAGAGGTTCCGCACTCGAATAGTTTTTATTTCCCCCTCATCAAAACCAATAATGTTTATCAGTGGTTGAATTGATATAATGTTTATCAGTGGTTTTATATGTTTTGATGAGTGGGGAAAAATATACGAGAGAGGAATTAGAAACCATGAGAAAAACGGACACGTTTGTGTGCATTTTGATTTGTGATTTCACCGGAAAGAATCTCAGCAACGGATTGAAGCGCGTTTCTGAGAGAAGCCAACACATCTCAGTGCTAGATCGCCTGTTATTTAACAAACAAATGAAACGAATGCTGTTAACTGGAGATGTTTTATTTGCATTGGTACATCTGTGCCGCGAGATGTTTCAAAAGTGGTGGGGACAAAATCCGTTTGTTCGCCGGCTTCTCTGAAAACAAATTCACATGGCCTGCCTGAACGAGATGGGAGGGGGAGTTGACAACGAGTTTACGACAGTTTTCTCATATATATATATACTCCGAAACTGTAGGGGGAGCTCGAGAGAGAAACCTGCGAGAAAACAGCAAAGAAGTTTCCAGTCTTACTGAGCGCTGCTTTAACGTTAACGGTTAAGCCTCTTGAGAGAGTGCTAGATGGTCGCGCTAAATTGCTAGGCTTTTGAGTTAGCATGACACGCAGGTAAAATTTACAATAATATATTTTGCACAATGAAATAAAAACTCTCATTCATATGATAAGCAACTCCAACTCCCAAGCATCTGTAAACTACTTAAATGAATAAAAATAGATAATACTCAAATGATTAAAAGGGGACGTCACGTGACAGTCATAGCTATGGCATATAATGTCGTATTTGTTAGAAATAGAAAAAAAAAATAATTCCACCTTGAAGAGAAGTCCCGCTGAAAAAAAGGTAATTTAGACAACTTTAAAAAATAAACACATTTGTTGTCGTAAATAATTTAATAAAAATTAGCTTCGCGTTTCAGCTTTTAATTTAACCCTCCGTGGCGTTATCCTTATTATAAGAGTATTAATACTCCATTACCGCCTAGATGAAAATACTCACCTTCATCTCCTTGAAATCATATTTCACAAACATGCCACTAGATGGTGCGCTAGTACTGTATAAACTTTTCATCTAAATTGTGAAACCTGTGTTGTGTGATTTATTAAAGGAAAACTCAATGTACAGACGACTTTTGTCACAATTCAGAGAACGTACAGATAGCATACAGAACAGCCACTTTGCTTCAGGAATAAAAATAAAATATTTTGTCTCTTACAGTCAATATTTGAGTGGCCTAAATATTTTAAAAAGCAATCCATTGTAGATATCAGCAGTTCTTGAATTTCACAAATTTTCAATACCCCATAAACACAAACTACAGAATGTCAGAACATCCCCATCTTACCCCCACCCTCTTCTTTTTCTGCTCTTCCCTCCCTGTTCCCTGTTCTTTCCCTTCCCTCTTCCTGGGCCGAATGAATGGAAGGTCTCCCCAGCACAATGGAAGCTGGTAGGAATGACAGAAATGTCTGGAGTCAGCATGAGGCTGGTGGCTATGGGGAACACACACACACCCCCGTGACATCACAGATAGTACATTCGCCCACCCCCTGACTCCACTTCACAAGGAAACAAGTATGTGTAATGTTCACATTATGTATGTTTAACATTGTTTTGGTTTATTGCACGGCTCAATAAATCCAACAGTTTCCTCTTTATAACACTGAATATTCTTGGTCAAACAAACAACGCATTGACCATGTTTCCACACAGCCTTTCTCTGTAACATCTTTGTGACACTAACTAACTCAAGGCTAGGTTTTAATTCTGTTCTCTACAAAGCAGCATGTGTGAAGGAAAAAATCCCTGGAGTGTTTTGTCATATGGAGGACTATCCATAAATGGAAAAGCACAGCAACAATCTGCACTGTTTGATTCATGTGATATTGGATTTCTCTCTTAGCTTTGTACAGATCCTTTTTTCCCATTCCTTTTCTGTTTCCCCCACTCAGCCTCTCTCTTTCTGTCTCACTCTCTCTATTCCGTCTTCCCTCATTCTTTCTGGCAGGCATTCAATTTCACACTTGGGGGAGCAGAATGAGGGGAAGGTCAGGGCTGTGTCAACAGAGGCCAGCAATTTTTTTCTTTTTCTTTTTTTCTGCTGATACAGGGAGAATGAAGGGAGAAAGAGACCATAAGTGTCCCTTTTCTTGTCTCCTTCACACGTTCACCTACTTCTCTCTGCTCTCTCACACACTAGCAGACACTGATTCCTTCCCTCGGGTCTTTCTTGCTGGAGCAGTTGTCTTGTCTATCCGAGCAACTACTAGTGAGAATGACCTTTCTTTTCTTTTAACCTCTCAATGATGAATACCATGGAAAATAAAATTGGCACGCAGGTTAACAGCTTGTCCATTTATTGGCTTTTATACACAAGCTTCGAAAATATTAAAACCAACATGAAATTGGCGCTACCCAATGACAGGGAACGTTCTCAGAACTTAATAGATAATAGAACGTTTGTTCAAATTTGTCACAAAAACATTAGCACAAACTCGTTATTCATATATCATCCATGGAACATTTTTTCTGGAATGTTGTTTTAGTTGGACATTCGGCTAACTACTTGTTCAAAACGTTCAGAGAACATTGAAAAGTTAACTTAAATCTGCAGTCCGGCATTTTTCCTCTTTGTCGCCATCTCTGTTCGAGATCTGCAATTGCAGTCATTCGTAGAATTATCAACTTTACATGGCACAGCGTGG